CAGCAGGTACAGCAATGGGCCTAGTATACTCCCCTGACGGACCCCGCGATTTATAGGATATAATTTCGAATACGCGTCAAGTAGTTTAACTCGATAGTACCTTTCGCCAATATACGATTCCAGTAGTTTACAATATTGCTGTGGCAGGATAGTGTTTAACTTATATATCAGGCCAGAGTGCCAAACCCCGTCAAAAGCCTTTGATATATCCAGAAACACAGCTGAACAAGTTTCTTTGTTTTCTAAAGCCTTTTCTATTTCGTGCGTAACTCTGTGTACTTGTTCGATTGTTGAGTGTTTTTTCCGAAATCCAAACTGATGATTTGGGATAAGATTTCTTTGACAAACTACTTTTTCAAGTCTTTTACAGATAAGCTTTTCGAACAGTTTTCCTATGGTTGGCAGGAGAGAGATTGGTCTATATGAAGTTGGAGAATGTTGGTCCTTATCTGGTTTTAGTACCATCACAACTTCAGCAACTTTCCAATAGCTAGGGACATGATTTAATTTTATACTCGCATTAAATATCTGTGCAAGTTTGGCTACTCCTTTTGGAGGTAGCTTTTTCAACACTTCACTAGTTATGAGGTCATATCCTGGTGATTTCTTTAATTTCAATTTTTTGATTTCCCCAGTTACTTCTTTATTTTTTATCCGCATAATAGCTTCATCATCTATGTTGTTATTTGGCTCTATATGATGGGTTTCTTCTTGATTGAAGGTATTACTTAAGTATTCAGCCAAAACTTGTGCCTTTTCAATATTGCTTTTCGCCCATTCATTATTATCTTTTTTTAATGGAGGATTATGAGTGATCGGTCTTTTATATTTTTTCATAGCTTTCCAGAGAGAATAGTTAGTTTTGCTATCATATGTCAAGTTTGTAAGATATTTCTTAACATTTTCATTTTTAAAATTACTGATTTCTCTTCTTAATTTTTGAGTGGCATTATTAAGGTTTCTTTTATCTTGTATTAATCGTGATTGTTGCCATTTTTTACGTAGTTTTCTTTTATTATAGACTAGATTTAAAATTTCGACCGGATAGTTTTTATCAAATTGCTTACTATTCTGCAGTGGAGAACTGCGCCATGCCGATTTTTGAATCAAGCTTGTAAAGCAATGCGTTTCACTCTCTAGGTCATTTATACTTCGTATTTTGCAGGATAGGTCAATATTTTCATTTATCTGGGCCTTAAAATAATTCCAGTCTGTTAGACGGTTTGTTAGTGTCGGTTTAGGTATCGTAGATAGAATATTACATCCATAAGTAAGCAATATTGGAGAATGATCAGAATTTAAGTCAAGTCCTGCTTTAACTTCAATGTCTCTTTTTTGAATTTTATTTACAATAAAGAAATCAATGACATCTGGTAATTTATTTCTATCAGTTGGCCAGTATGTTGGAGAGCCAGTGGAGAGAACTTCAAAACCTGTGGCCCGACATGCTTTAAGTAATTCCTTACCCTTTGTGGTATTTAGTCTTGACCCCCATTGAACATTTTTTGCGTTAAAATCACCACCAATTATTGCTTTATGATTGTGTAATTTCAATAGATATACGTATTGTTCATATTTTACGTTATGTCTTGGTGGACTATAGATGGACGTTATTTGTATTTTGGAACCACTCTCTTCAACTGCAACGGTTGTTGCCTGGAACTCTTCATTAGAGAGTTTATTATCTTGATAATGCTTAATGTTGGATTTAATTATAACAGCACTTCCGCCTCTAGCATTATTGCTTGGATGGATAGTATGATAAATATTATAGTTTTTAAAATTGATATACGTTTCTTTTGTAAAATGAGTTTCGCTTATTAGGCATATGTCTATATTTTCTGTTAGCAGAAGTAATTCTAATTCGTTTTTGTGTTGAAGCAAACCATTTGCGTTCCATTCCATAATTTTAAGAGCAATCATACAGATGTACAATTATGTTTTTGTTCTAAGTTGTCTAGGCGATTTTCTATTGCCATTAGTTTTTCAAGAATAACAGAGAGGACATTTTGTGATTCATTAGATATATTTATTTTTTGGGCTACGGAGGTTGTTGGCTTAATAGCGTCTGCATATGATACTTTAGCGATTCTTCGACTTGAGTATATTATTGGTCTTTCGATATTATCTGTTTGAACTGGGACAGGAACTTTTTTTGTTTTTTGGTCTCTTAATTTTTGAAGCTCTTTTGCGACTACACAACCGCGATATGACGCTGGGTGTTGCTCCCCACAGTTGCAACATTTTGGGTGACTATCATCGGGTTTTTCACAATTTATAGTTTCATGCTTACCTGCACATTTCACACACCTTGGCTGCTTTTGACAGTAGTTTTTGGTATGGTTGAAAGATTGGCATTTGGTGCACTGCGGGATAATTTTAGAGGGTTTTATTGTTTCTATAGATACTATCGTATTTAAGATTTCTTTGATTTCATGGATTTTGTTCGTATCTTCTACTGCCTCAAAGGATAATATGAACATATCCAGTGGTTTCTTAGTTTTAAATTGTAGCTTATTAATTGCGCTGACAATTTTAAAACCCTTCTCTGCAAGGTCGCCAACAATATCTGTAGGGTCGCATGAGTGATGCAGGTTTTTTGCTATAACTCTTATTGGTCTAAGCTGTTTATGTTCATAAGAGTGCCATGAGAGATTTGCTTCATTTAGAGCTCGAGTTACTTCCCGATAATCGTTACCATCGAAAGTGCTAATTTTACATAAGTCGTTATTCATTAGTTTCAGCAAAAATTTATTTTTGCTTTCCTTTGTAATAATTTTTCTTATGTGATTGTAATTATCAGAGACAGTTACCATAATTGGAGGTGGACGAAGCTGGGTTGATGTCTTTTCCGTTTCTTTAGAATGCTTTTGTGTCATATTGTTGAGAGTTGGTGACACACTTGGAGATGTAGTAGCTTTGCGCTTTTTTGAGGCTCTTTTATTATTTCTTTTAACGATCCAGTCGGTTTCACGAGCAAGCTCTTCCTCGTCTGTTTCGAAAGTTATGGTGGTTTGCTCTTTCGGAACATTATTGTTAATAAGTTGCGACCTTAATTTTTGGTTTTCACTTTTGAGTTGGATAATTTCTTGATGAAGTTTGCCGCATAAGACTTCTAATTCTCTCATTTTTTTTATTAAGAGCTTCATTATTTTTGTCATTAGTGTGGCTGGTATTTGTGGACATGTTAATTTCGTATGGAACTATATCTTTTGTACTGTTTGGAGAAATTTTGTTTAAATTATTATTTTTATTACTAATTAATTTAATTTTATTTGCTATAGCAATCTCACTAGCGGTTTTTTTAATGTTTATTTCGGTATTCGATTTACCTATAGTTTTGTTTATAGGTTGATCGTTTATTTTAATGTCTTCTGCATTAAATGTTATGTAGCTATTTAGGCCATTTTCACTTATTAGTGAATGTCTTCGTATATTACTTTTACAATTGTTCATAAAAAATTAAATATTAAAAGAAATAAATTTTTTAGTTTGATGATCACTGATTATATAGTATATATATAGAATATTAAATTTTTACAAAAGAATTAAAAATATACACTGTGGCAACGCCACTTTTATAAATTGCAACTTTCGTTAAAAAAATAAACAAACAAATGCTGTCTCTATCAGCTGTTTTGAAAGTATTAGTAACTTTCAGCAATTTTATTGCTTTTGATTAATTTGTTTTGATTTTTTTTGTTTTTTATTAAAACCAAAATTTAGAAGTATATTTTGCAATTTAAACACACAAACCGCACTTTTGCTGACACGGATCGCGACAACTAGAGTGTACGTTTATTATTTAATCTTTGTGTGCACTTATTTAAATTTGTTTCTTTAAATTTTAGATTTAAATTTAGATAAAAACGGAGCGTCCGCAGTTGGAGTGTCTTGTTTCGCCAAAACGTGATATCTCTTTATTCTTAATTTGTTCAAATATATGAAAAGGTATTTGATTGAATATCTTTATTGCATACATTACGTAAAATTCTCATCCTAGATATAAATGGAACTCATTTATAAAATTAAAATATCAATGATTCCAGTGGTACATGACTTCTGTAAAGTTGATAATTCGCTTACAGGTACTGTAACTTCAAATTGGTTCATCAAATGGATGAATGATGGTTTTTCGGCAAACGCTAAGAAACTAGGAAGTTCAGATATGACAATATGCTAATAATTGGGATCATGGAGGACTGATGGATTCTTTAATTCGATATAAAGTAGTTTTTTCTTTATACCAAATACTTTCAAAAGAAAATATTGAGTAAATTTATTATTTACTTATTTATTTTTACATTTATAGTTGAAACCATAGAGAAGAGTTAATTACAAAAATCCGCAGATACTGATTGAAAATCATGTTTAAAATATAAATATAAATATTCTTTCCAATAAAGGGTCTTAGATATTCAAATATTAGGTTTATTCAGAATTCTCAAAAACGAAATTTGCTATAAGAGATATATAATGGTTACTGTTACTTATAAACAACTTAATGAACAATACATTTTTTTATCAAATCTCTTCGTTTTTAGAATTTTTTAAAGATTTAGCTTATATTTTACCACCGTCACATAATTATTTTTTTTTTTTTTGTTATTATTGTCTTCAAGATTTTGCGAACTTAACTTTATATTTCCTGTTATTTTAAAGTCACTCTTTGGAGTTACATTTTCAATTTTATTGACAATATAAGCTTAAGTAAAGAGCACTTGGCTAACAACCATAAAATACTGAAGCATACTTTTTGGCGTTACGAAATATTCAATTTATTTTGCTTGCATATGTGAACACAAACAAAACTCCCAACAAATATTGTTTGATTAAATAGAATAACAAAAATAATAGGAAAATTTGTATATATAAACCCGTATCTGCATTTATTCAGAGCCTGCACTGTTTGACACCAGCAGCTCCTTTACAACGTAACCACCTGCAGTTTGCATGTGGAGTTTTCGCTTACGAATTTTTCGCTTATGATTTCTTGCCTGCTTATTTACTTATTCAAGTTCATCTTTACTAATACGAGCCTCTGCATTGCAACACGTGATATTTGCGCTATGCTCTACTGATTTACTGCAGATTTATATGTGCATATATATAGTTGCACTGCCGCACAACCGATTCTATGCAAATACGTAGCGGGAAAGTATTTGCACTTTAAATTAAATAAAATTTATTTATAGAAACACATTTGCCCTCATCTGGCCCAATGCCTCATTTCGAAGTGTTGAGTAATCCTTTTCGTTACTTATTTAGTATTAAACAATGAATTAATAAATATTGCTATTTTCACTTAATTTACAAATATTTTTATGCAATAAGAGTAGTTAAATTGAAATATAAAATTACAGGCTTTTAATTACACTAAGTGATGAAGGCTGTAAAATTATTATAAATCCTTAACAATTATAGAAAAATGCAATATAAATTTTTGAACATTTGATTAACAGATTTTGGAGAAATTTAATAATTTATGAAAATTTCGATATTATTATCTAAAGTCTATGTAAATCCATCATAGATTTGTACACAGCACCACTATTATTATTATAACAAAGGGAAATCAAATTTACATCCACGATTTATAACTAATGGCGCTTTTAATTCGTAAAATAATATTATATTTTCTTTACTTTATAAAAATGTGAAGAAATTCAGTGCACCGGCTTGGAAGCTGTTTGATTTGGTACCCGCAGGTGGAAAAAGTGGTAGAGGACATTCGTATATTCAGTGGAAGAACCATGTGACCAACGATTTGGAGGCACTCGATACTACCAACTAGTGACAGCAAGCCACTTATCGGGCTGGCTGGCGGAGGATACTCGACACGGCCAGTAAGTTAGTAAGTTCTTTTCTAATTCTTCATATCCATATAAGTTCCTCATTGAGTAATAAAAAAACTTATAGGGAACAATTCGGGACATGTGAATTCTATAACGAAATTTATAATATAAAAAAAAGATTTATATTAGGTGTACCGGTATGAAATGAGCGTTTTTTGGTGAAAATAAAACACTAATTATTAATAGGAAAATAAAAAATATTTTATTCAAAGTATTGGCCATTGCTTTCTACACATTTTGACCACCTTTCTGGCAATTTGTGGATACCACGCCAAAAAATTGTTCGTCTTTTAAAGCAAACCAACCAGACACCCAAATTTTTCGACCTCCTCGTAGGAATCAAAGTGCTGCCTCAAGCCAATGCGTGTCCCATCGATGAAACACAAATGGTAGTCGGAAGGAGCCAAGTCTGGTGAATTCGGCGGGGTGGGGTAGCAGCTCCCAACCAAGTGTTTTGATTGCATCCTGAACCCGTTTATGTGTGCAGCTGCATTGTCATGGAGCAGAATACCTTGCCGTGTCTTCTGGCACTTCTGGTCGTTCTCGATCAACGCAATGGTTCAAAATTTATCATTTCTCTGGTTCATAAGCGACCAGCAATGACGGTTTCACAGGTTTTAGGAGCCGTGGTACAGCCCACAACCTTCTGGTCCCACCAAACACACAGCATTGCTTCTTGACGAATCGATCTGGTTTTGCAGTCGATGTCGATGGTTGTCCCGGATTAACCCATGATTTTTTCTAATTAGGATTCTTAAAATAAATACATTTTTTATAGCCATAAACAATCCGATGCAAAACCGATTTTCTTTCGTGTCTTTGAAGCAAAATTTCACAAGTGTTTTTTCGGTTTTCCATCCCCATTTTCCACACTTTTGGATCTTTCCCATAGCTTTTAAACGGTCAGAAAGTGTTTGTTGTGCAACATTTAACATTTCTGCCATTTGCTTTTGACCCAAAGTGTCATCTCCATCCAATATCGTTTGCAATTCGGCGTCTTCAAACTTTTTTGGCGGTCTTCCACATTCTTCATTTCTCACATCAATATTATTATTTCTGAACCGTTGAAACCATCTTTTGCATGTTGCTTCTGATAGAGCATGATCACCATATGCCTCGACAAGCATTCGATGCGACTCTGCACCACTTTTCTTCAAATGAAAACAAAAAATTAATGCTTTCCGCAAATCAAATTTTGTACCAGAAAGTTCTGGTACAAAATTCGACATTTTTAACACGATGAAGAAATATGATGTTGTCTGTTCAATGACTTGATGTATACTAAATATATTTCACACATGTCATAGCAAACAAACAAAAAAAAACTAAAGGCTCGTTCACAACAAATGTTCCCTGTCGGAACATTTGTATCTTTACGCTCACTTCATATCGGTACACCTGGTATATTAAAAGTAGAACATCTCACAAATCTATGAATTTTTAAATTGTAATACAATTCTTAATATCAGTCAGTATAAATTCATAATAGCACAGTGAAAAGTAGTGTTTCAATACCAGTTCGTTAACTATGGAAAATATTTATAAGTCAGGGATGATCTCAACGAAAATCGTGAGATATCGTGACACAGTGTGTATGAAAATCGTGTCACATAAATTCAATAATAGATAAATATAAATAATAAATTCAATAAATATAATAAAAAATAAATTCAAAAAATTTGTAGTATAATATTAATTCGAATGATATATTATTAAGACTTGTTAGTAATGATCAACTTATATCCTTGAGACCATTCAATTATTAAATATAAGCTTCTATATTATCTTTGTGATATTATTTTGTCTTGTTATTCGTGTTTAGTATTCATACAAAATCTAATATGGATTTTAATGGGATTATAGTTGAAAGATATAGTTAATAGGAGTGGGCATATAGTAGCCGTCAAATTTGCCATATCTTATCATTGATACTGATAAGATTAAATAATTGAAACTATGAAAAACTTGTACTAAAATATTAGACACCATATATCTGGAACTCTAAAAGCTAAGCTAGTAATGTATAGCCTTCAGCTGGAAGAGTAAGTTGATCACATAGATAGATCCAGGGGGTATATTATTTAAAGGCTTTATATAGTTATATAGTTTACATTGCTATGAGTTATAATTATTATTAAACTAAAAATATTTAATTTTTAATTTTTTTTTGACTGCGTAATGTTAATTTCTCGAATATTAATTAATAATTGGAATAATGGAAACTGAGCGTTTTGCTAAATATTTTATTAAATTTGAGATATTTTTTTGGAAAA